TGAGGTATTCTGCCCTACTCCATTGAAAGGCCCCCAAACAGTTGCTGTCTTGTAATGAACGCAATATTTTGTTGTAAAATGCGTCTACCCAATATGTCCCATATATGTCAATTGGAATTAAACTGGGGATTGTACAGGCCATGATAAAACCTCAATTTTATTATCTTCGAGAATGTTCGCACGACCTTAGCAATAGGCGGACACGCATTGTCGTGCATTAAATGAAATTAGAGACTAGTTGTTATGCAAAGGTGCAACAATAGGTTCAAGAATAATATCGAGGTAGTCTGTTGTATTTAGAAACCATTCCAGATAAACGAGATTGATTCTTCCACAACAAGAATGATGCCACCCCATACCATTATATTGCCTTCTTGCTGTCTATGAACCTCCTGCACGGTGACCAATCGTTCAGCATTGCCAGATCATCTCCACATTCTTGTCCGCCTTGTATTTGGTGAAATCCAAATCAGAACTCATCTGTGAGCAAAGTAAAGGCCCACTCACATTTGATTCAATTTCATGTTCTTGTGCGCACTGAAGTCAATGAGCGTTCCTTTGGATAAAACATTCACTCTCACAAGTCTTCGAGCAATTAACCCTACTTCATGCAGTCTATTTCTAATAGTTTGGCCACTTACAAACACTTGATGGGTCCTCTTACGGCTTATTTGTAATTATGATGGAGAGTTACAGTGCGTTCTCGCAAAGCCTGTAACATAGTAAAACGGTCTTTAACCTGGTTGTTATTTTTGTACGCCTGTATGACGTTTAGCAATATCACAAGTTTCTTGAGACCTTAAGCACAAACGATTAATGACACTTCTGTTCGTATGGAGGACTTCAGCAACGTCTCTTTGACATTTGCCAGCGTGAAGCATTCCTATAGCACGCCATTGCATTTTGCGATTTAAATAATGTTCTCTTAATGATTGGTAATTGCAAAGTAAATAAAAATCCACATAGACATCGAAAATCAAATACCAATAAAGAAATATTATTTTTTATCTTATAGGCAAAAAACGCATATTGAACTTTTGTTAAATTGTTTATTTCCATTCTTAATCAGCCATTACCGTCCAAGTTAGATAATAATAGACAAAGCAACAAAAAGGATTAAAAACATAAATTTATTTTTGTATTTGCAGCTAACATTGATTTAAAGCTTTTAGTATAGATGTCCCCCTACATTAAAAATAAATAAACAATTTCACTACTTTTTAAGTTATATAGGCTAATATATTATACTAATACACGTTTTTTTTTTTAGTAACAAAGGACAAAGAGAAGATACAAAACATAAATGATGCCGTCAAAGTATTTGAGGACTTCCTTAGAGACTTCGAAATCAACAATATGTCAAAAGAAAACAGAGCATACCTGCCCCTTGCCTCAGTTCAATCATTACTACCTCTAAAAGAAAAATTCGATATTAAGGATAAATTAGTAGAAGCATTTTTAGAAGCATACACCAAGAAAGCCAAAGGCGAATATAAAAATCTCAGAACTGTGTTTTGAGTGGTGAAGGAAAACCCTCTTGGGACATTGTAAGAAATGTGGAAATTAAGAAATTATTAAAGGCCATGGAAGA